ATTGAATTTGCTCTCTGTGAATTTTGATGTTGTAAGTTTTTAATGTATTCTGTGAATACTTTTGAAAATTCTATACGACATCATCTGTTTGGATAACATTTTTGCCATGAAATTTTTTTGCTGTACTGAGTTCTATGGTGTAAATTCCATATTGTTGTGTTAAGTTACATATTCTTTTTATATAATGATCGACAATTTGTCTTTTGATTTTTATTTCTGGGAATTCTGCTTTACATGGGCTAATCCCTTGTTCAAATATATTTGCGATTCGATTATGGGAAAATTGTATTTTTCCTCTGTCTTCAGTGAGTGAAATGATGATAAACGGGAGAACAGAGTCTTCGTCTGGACTTTCGTCACTTGGGCTTTGACTCATTTTTTCGTTTTATGATTGTTAGTGCGTAATGTTCAATGTGTCTGATTGGTTGGTTCCAACTGTATAAACGTACTGGTTTATTTTTGTATATCTTTTTTATTCTTCTTTTTCCTTGTTTTGATGAATGTGATGTAGCTTCTGATACGGAAAAGTATAATTGATCGTGAACTGGATAGTTTTTATTTACTGTGTCTTTTAGTTTGTAAAGTGCATCTAAATTGCTGACTTCTGACTCAGAGACTGCGTTTCTACGCATTGAAAATTTTTTTCGTGTAATTTGTCTTTGCTTATTTAAAATTTTTCTTTTTATTGTTTGAAGTTTTGTGCGAATATATCCGATTGTTTGTTTGTGCGGTGTAATTACAAGATCGTATGTTTCGTTATTTATTTTACAATTGTGTAGTACGATTGTTTGTTTATTTCCTGAATTGTTCAGTGACATAAGGTTTAGGATGAAGGATGCAAGGTTGTTATTAGTGATTTTAAAATCCTAGACTATTAGTCCTTACGATTTTTTTGGTTAGCCTAACTTGGGTCTTTTATGTAGGGTTGGAGAGAAAAGTATATATCGATTCCGAAGAATGATTTTTACTTTCTCGTGGCTATTCTAAGCTAAGGTGTTAACTTACTTAATCTTACTTAGGGGTAGTGATTGTGTTCAAGGTTTGGAGAATAGTAAATCGACCCACAAGGTTCAGGTATACTTAGAACAAAGGTAGTTCGTTAGATACTATTTTAATACTTACTAAGGTTTAAGATTTAGCCTGGGTCAGGTAAGAGGGGGGATTAAGTGAAGGATGAGTAAACGAAAATCTTCACTATTTAGCTTAATTTGAATGGTTAGCGTGATTGAAAAATTTCTATTAGTCTTGGATCTTTGAAAGGATTGGGTAGTGAATCGACGTTTGAGGTCGTTAGACTTTATATTATTGGGTGGGGGAGAATAATATTGTTCCGTTTGATTCAAGGATATGCCTTGATGATAAGGATATAACTTTTTATGGTATAAAATGGATTTACTTTAATTTTTAATGAAGATCCAAGGAAAGCCTTGATGATCTATTTTAAGATTGAACAAGTTGAGATGAAAGAAAGGTAAAAATTTGGATTAGCCTTTAAAGATAATTTAAATTTATTTGATGAAAAATTTTAGTGTTTGATGATATTAGTGGTTTAAATGATTGCTGTTATGTTTAGGTGATGAAGCTGGGGATGCCAGGATGATTTATATATACTAATAATTAATGATCATGTCAACTAATTTTTATTTTTTCTTTCAATAAATATATTTTTCAGATATCTTTCTAAATTTTACTGCAGATTTAGAGGAAACGATTTGAGATGTTTTATAAATAGTTATTGTACAATAATAAATATGATTTAGCGCCTGTAATAATCATTGAAGATTTTTTTCAAGGTTTCTATGTTTGCAAATGAAAATCTAAATTCTTTACTAAAAAAATCCTAAATACAGAAGTTTGGTCTGGCTTTTGTCGTACGACCATGAAACTTAATGGTAAGTTTCTTCGTAGTCGTAGATCGTCTCTTGGCCGAGGTCTTCTTCCAATGCCTGGTTGTTCTATTATTGTGCGGAATAGCGGTTCTGATCTATTGAGTCGTAGAGACATTTCAATTAGATTATTATCATGTAACATTTTTGATAATTTTTTTGTCTAATTCTAATCTATCTGTTAGTTCTAAGCTAATTTTTTTAAGGTCTTGATCGAGACTTATGGTCGCACCAGATGAGTTATGTCTGATAATTTAGGATAGGGTGCACCGTCTGCTCGTCACGCTATCTTATTTTCGGCCGGATAGATTCGTGCAACGTCTTAGTCTAATACCGATCCTAATCTTACTCTTATATCTACTAGTCTCAGGGTGTTTAACTAATCTGTGCTAGGCTCAATAGATCTAGAGTATACTGGCTTATTGCGATTGCTAAAGTTCTCTTGGAGAGGTAACTATTTTCTAAGTTAAATTCAAATCTCTCTGGTGCTGAAATTACAAGTAATTTCAGCACTTGCAAATAAGTGGGTTGTTAGTTAGATGGATCGGATTTGGTTAATATTAAATATTTTATAGAGATAAAATATCAGAATCATATCCAATAATGAATTCTAGTTTAGATCTGGTTCCATCCATCCCGGGTTTAGAGAGTTCCGGGGTTTTTTAGGAGTCAGGAAAAGAAATTAAACATTTAACTTCAAAGCAATTATCATGAGTTTAATTCAAAAATATATATATTTTCAACCAATCTTCTCCTGAAATCAGGAGAATCCTTTTAAAGTGAGAAAATTCCTGGATTTGAAAAAGATAATTGATACATCGTGAGACTAGCGGAAACATTTCACATCAAAATTTTGAATGTGCGTAAAAAAATTTTATTGGCAAACTTTTCCACAAGACGCTCACTCGTTTCTTAAGACAATTTCTTTTAACTAAATAAGTTCAAACTTGAACCTGTTACCAAAATGTTGAATTGCTATCTTTTAAAAGTTAAAAGTATTCCTGTTTTTTCCAATATACTACTCACCAAAAGTGGTTTTTCTATATTTTTCTAAATCAAAAATTTCCCAATTTTTTATTTATCAAAAGAAATTTTTCTATGTTCAACTAGAAATGATGTTTTTGAATGACTATTGACTTCTTGTTGATGTTATTTATAGGATGATTTTCTCTAGTTTATAGTTTTTACATTTTATTCTTTTTTTCTTCAAATTTTTGCAAAAGCTTACCTTAAATTACAAAATTACAGTCAGATGGTCTTCAGTAATCTTGTTGCCATTGTTAGATCACGTAGGTTTTTTATTAGGTAAATTTTCAAAACAATAAAACTAAACTTTTTGCAAATATTTTATTATGACAATCAATAATGTTAAAACTCAACAGGTAAACAACGTTTAACAACTTGCTCAGAAATTTCATGGTTATTTTTGATCCAAGTATTTTCCACTTTTTTTGGCTAGAAAATTTGGGTCCAAAACTTCGCCGCAGCAAAAAAAGTCAAATCGACAAAAAATATCAATAAAAAACTTTGCAATCATTTTTTTTATTAAGAAACTTCTCACTAATTCTTACCTTATGTAAGTTGTACATTTTGCAGCTGTTATTGTTTTTGATAACTGGCAAGAATGAAGCAAACTTTGCACCATCTGAAAAGCATCGAAGCCCGATGCTCAAAATTTTGGTAAGTTCCCAAGTTGCATAATTCCCAAAAGGCATAAAAAAAAAGAAATTTTTCCCAAATGGCATAAATTTCAAGTTATCATAGCAATTCAAACGTTTTGTATCAAGCATCCAATTCTAACATTAAGTCAGGAACGAAAAAATGTGAACGAGATTTGGAATTAATTGCTTCCAAACATATTTTAAGTGACAGTTGTCGGTAAAATTGATCACAAGAGGCTTGTCAAAATCCGCAAGCTTATGCTTTTTGCTTTTTCATAGAAAACTTTCAAGATAAAATGCCAATCAACATTTGAATTGAGAACTTTACTAATTTTCTCACTTTGTTCATGAAAAAGTTGTTCTCGATATTTTCAATGTAACAGTTGCATCAAATTTATGCCATTTCGGAAATTTTTTTATTTTTATGCCATTTGAGAATTATGCCATTTGAGTCGTAACCAAATTTTTATGTTACTTGTTTTTTTTTGTTAGGTCATGGAAAACTTTCAAAGCATTCTTCTGATGAGAGCAGACTTCGTTTAACTTGTATGGATCAAAATTGCACAAGTTTGAATTTAAAAAGTTCAAAAAACTCGAACAAACCACTGAAAAGTGCTAAAGTCAATAATCATCGGTCAATTGAAATCAAAATTTTCTTTTATGGTGGTCGGTATAATCCACAAAATTTTCATATTGTAGCAGATTTTGACGCCGCTTTTGAAGTTTTAAGCAAGTGTTTTTTCCGTTTTGTTCATTAAGAATGTTATTATGTTTTCACTGTCATTTGAAACCTTTTAATGCCAACTCAAAGAGTTTTTTTTGATCGAGTGTTGCTTTGTTCGGCTATACTCAAAATAAATGTTTTTAATCTAAATCTTTTCAATCTTTTGCACAGCGTATTTTCATTTGACTCGATTATCAACAGCTTATGCGACTATTGCTTTTAAATGGTCTCTTTTTGAGTAAAAACTACATGTAGTCACACAAATTCATAATACAATTGAATAATGGTGATTGAAACGACGTCTAGCCGAGATCATCCGGTTATCAGAATAGAGGTTCCAGACTTAAAATTGACTAATATTCCCAAAGCTTCGTCCCGTGTTACTTATGGTTTGACTGGACAAAAAGTGAGTTCAAGAAGCAAGAAATTGGTTTCAAGGAGCTCCAGTTTTAGCGAAGACAGAAAAAGGTTGAGATTTTTATTTATCTTGTTTTTTTTTGTTTTTTGATGTTTTTTTTTCCAAAAATTTTGTTGCCAAAAAATAATCCGAATGAGTATATCTTGTTGTTTTTTTTTACCTGCACTTCGACTAAGATTACCCAAATTGATTGAATTAATTTTTCTAAAAAATTTGGAAATGTAACAATAATTTACAACTTTTTTTTGAGACCTCAGGGCTGCTATTATAGCCTATAATTTAGTTTTTTGAAAACGGAGTTGCGTTTTTAGCTCAGTGAAGCCTTCAACTACGCCAAGATCTAAACGAATTACTGATGACATGACCCAAGATCCTATTTGTCCAAAAGTTCCTCTAAGAAGATATAACTTCAGACAAAGTTCATCATCATCAACACCGTTTTCGACCAATCAAATCAACGGAAACAGAACAAACCAACATCCGCCAACTATACCTGAAGTTGACCTAACGCCTAATCAAAAGAGCCATGATTCCAGTTTGAAACCTATATTCGTGCCCACAGCGTGGTCTATGCCATACAAGCCACCGATCCATGATTCAAGTGTGATTCCTGTTTATCCGAGGGACATTCTACAGTTTCGACAGGCAAGTTTGCAGTCTTAAAACCATTTAACCTGATTGAAAAAATAAATTACAAATATCCATAATAAAATTTCAAAATGAAAACAATTTATCTTTTTCATTTTTTATTGCCTAATTTAGTTGTTTTCGGAAACAAATAACTGCAATGCAACAACTCATTTATAAACGAATAGCTGAAATTTTGATGCAAAAAGCAGCATCAATCTTTTACTTAACTTTTTATTAATGACTTTTAACTATAAAGTTTTTTGGAATGTGCCTTAAGCCATAGTAAACAGTCATGCAATAATCATTCAGCTTTACGCTTCCAAAAAAATTACATAAAATGAAAATCATTTAAATTGCTATTTTTTGGTAAAAACAATGAAAAAAATCAAGCACATCACCGAAATCTTTTCATAAATGTTTTATGCGATATATATGCTGTTTTCAATTCTGACTGTCGTTGCGTGAACTGGAGTTGATGACTTTTTGAGCATTTTGTTGGATAGTTTTCAATAACTTTCTCAACACTTTGTGTTGTTTCAATGCCCTCTAGTCTAATTTAAGTAGATAGATGACTACTTGCGATAAGCAAGGTTGTTGTAATCGTGTGGTAGACTACTTTTCCTTTTATATATTTGTTTAAGGATGACTAACAATAGTGATGGTCTCTTTTTTAGAGCTGACTAAAAATGGTGAATTGGTTTTTTTTGTGACCTAACAGACAAGTTCAATTTTTGATACTTCTGGATTTTTTAATACCAGTATTGATCATTTTGTAAAAAAAAATTGGTTGTTATCTATTTAACAACTTCGATTTCAATATTTCAGTTTTTTAGTTTTTTTTTGTTTTTTTTTTCTTTTGTTTGAGTTGGAAGGAGTTGTTGATTAAGGTTACTTAAGCTCAGCGGCCTCATTTTGAGTAGTTTAATGATCATACGAAGGTTGTTATCTATTTCTTGTTGGATTGAAACAATTTTTGTTAGGATTTTTAAGTTTTTTATGGCTTAAAGTTTTTTGATTCTGCGTCTATCTGCTCAGGTTTTGTCGGCTCTCTTACCGCTTTAGAGTGCTGTTGCAAGGGTCAATTGGCATTCAATTAGCTTACCTTGCTTAAAAAATCCTTTTGAAATAAATCTCGACAAAGATACATTTTTTTCAGATTTCCCATTTTTTTCTTCCGCTCAGTGGTAATAAGCTCTGTTGAGACGAAAAATGCTTTGTTTTACACTTCCAGTCGGGACCTGTTTTTGTTGCAATCTAAATTTTCTACTAATTTTGTCGGTTTGGTTACCAAAGAAGAGATTTTTGACAGAATATTTGTGCTCAGCTTGATTTTTTTTCTTCAGAAAAAATTCGACTTTCTAACTAGCAATTATGTATATATATATATACTACTGCAATTATGTCTCGCTTCTTTTCGTTGTGAACCAATCAGGGGCCGGAGAAAACTCTGACTGAAATTAGAGCGAGTCAGTCTATTCTGATGAATAGTCTAAAGAAGAGCATCTTCAGCACTGCCAAACCACCGCCAGTGAGCCCAGCCTCAAGACAGGTCACCAATGTATGACCATGCGTGTATGACCAAGGATGTATGGTCACAAATGTCTCCAATCTATGAAGATATGAATGTCGGGCCACTATTATTGGCAGGACCAGAAAATTTGAAAGTCGCTATCATAGTTTGAATTAATTTGAGCTGAAAAATGATAATTTGATGACAATTTGATGATAAATTATTTTGAAAAGTTTGAAGAAACTGTGCAAATTGAAGGATAATTTAGTGCTGTTTTATTATTAGGGAGCATTAGAAGAAAGGAAGAGAGGTGCACGCCATTTCCTTCCTCAATACCATCTCTTCTTTAGACTAAGGGTCTTTTTTGACATATTTTTTGGCCAACCAACCTCAAATTCTTTCAGAAATACTTTCCTGTTGGCCAAAAGTTGCTGATTTTGAGGGCAAAGAACTTGTGGTTTGCTTTCAAAAACCCCTTCTCAAAAAATACACAATAATTATTACTTTGAGTTTTAAAAGTTCAAAGCAAGGATTTTGTAGAGAGCTCCCAAAGTCATTTTAAACTATTTTTTGAAGACGTTAATTTCCAGATTTTATCAAATAGTATTACCGTGCTGGTTTTGATTAATATGACAAAATGAATAAAACTATAAATTTCGACCTATGAATCGGAAAACATAGTTTTTTCAAACAAAAGATTGCTGAAAACAAAAAAAAACTTTTAAACTTTTTTTTAAACCTTTCAAACCTTTTAAACTGCTGTGCTGCTGACATGCTCAATTGCTTGAAAGCTTGTTTTAACTACTGGCTACCAACACTTAACTTGGTAAACAAAAACCTAGAAGTCTGACAATTGTATGTACAATTATAGAATTTTGATTTTGTTTTTGCTGATAATTTGAAGACTTCATGGTTGTTGACTTGAACTACCTATATAGCTTCGGTGTATACTACGTGGCCGGTAGAAACTATTTTTCCTATAATGTTTTTTAAAGTAATTGTTGATTTTCAGCTTAATGGGTGTCGGTTTAAATTTTGTCGCCTGTTGACTCAATGTTTTTTTGCCTAAAAACGCTTGGTGTTATCGTTGAGATTGACGAAAGTGGATAAGTTTTTGAACTCTCAAAATCATTCTCATGATGACTCACTTTAGAAAATTTCAAACAAATTTTAAAATTGAGAAAAATTCCCTTTTCTGGTTTTTTGTTCGTTCTTTTTGTTCCAGTTATAACCATGTTTCTCTGCTACTTGTTGAGCGTCATGCTGTTTTCAATTCTGACTGTCGTTGCGTGAACTGGAGTTGATGACTTTTTGAGCATTTTGTTGGATAGTTTTCAATAACTTTCTCAACACTTTGTGTTGTTTCAATGCCCTCTAGTCTAATTTAAGTAGATAGATGACTACTTGCGATAAGCAAGGTTGTTGTAATCGTGTGGTAGACTACTTTTCCTTTTATATATTTGTTTAAGGATGACTAACAATAGTGATGGTCTCTTTTTTAGAGCTGACTAAAAATGGTGAATTGGTTTTTTTGTGACCTAACAGACAAGTTCAATTTTTGATACTTCTGGATTTTTTAATACCAGTATTGATCATTTTGTAAAAAAAAATTGGTTGTTATCTATTTAACAACTTCGATTTCAATATTTCAGTTTTTTAGTTTTTTTTTGTTTTTTTTTCTTTTGTTTGAGTTGGAAGGAGTTGTTGATTAAGGTTACTTAAGCTCAGCGGCCTCATTTTGAGTAGTTTAATGATCATACGAAGGTTGTTATCTATTTCTTGTTGGATTGAAACAATTTTTGTTAGGATTTTTAAGTTTTTTATGGCTTAAAGTTTTTTGATTCTGCGTCTATCTGCTCAGGTTTTGTCGGCTCTCTTACCGCTTTAGAGTGCTGTTGCAAGGGTCAATTGGCATTCAATTAGCTTACCTTGCTTAAAAAATCCTTTTGAAATAAATCTCGACAAAGATACATTTTTTTCAGATTTCCCATTTTTTTCTTCCGCTCAGTGGTAATAAGCTCTGTTGAGACGAAAAATGCTTTGTTTTACACTTCCAGTCGGGACCTGTTTTTGTTGCAATCTAAATTTTCTACTAATTTTGTCGGTTTGGTTACCAAAGAAGAGATTTTTGACAGAATATTTGTGCTCAGCGTGATTTTTTTTCTTCAGAAAAAATTCGACTTTCTAACTAGCAATTTTTGACATAAGTTTTTTTTTATCTGAAATGTATTGTTGTCCTGAGATCAGATTTTGAGAGATATTTTTCTGTAATTTTTGGTACAGTTGTGGTGCTTTAAAAATTGCCGTTGTGGCCAATTTGGGACAATTCTTGCGCGATATATTTTGCGCTAGTAACGCGTCAGCGGAGATTTAATCCGTCTTTGAAATCATTTCAAGATGGCTGAAGCAGACTATTTGCCATACTTTGTATGTTACTAGGAGCATCGCGTTTTTCTTTATATGGTTTAATTTTTCAAAAAAGTTTCAAGTTTAAAGAAAATCATTTTTGTTTGAAAAGTTCATCAAATCTTATAAAGCGAACGCTGCATCATAGAACTTATAAAACAGTCGGAAAGTTCAAGGTTTTGCCTTGATACGAGCAATCTTGTGTGAAAAATTTTATTGATTTCCTTATCGACCTTATCGTGCAATGTGATGGGAACTCTCCGTCCTTTTTGTTGAATCGGCGTTAAAGTTTCGAAAAAATCCGCATGCACTTTATAATTCTTAATTTATTTTCCCGACTCTGGTAAAAAGGTTTTTAAATTGCTTACTGAAATAAATCTGCCAGGGGTCTAATGAGTCCTCCTCCTCTGTTGCTTCGGCCTCAAGTTGTTCTCCCTGCACCGACATCACGTTCTCCTCCGGTGCCTTCTGAACTATCTGCAATCCCAGATTTGGCATCAGTTCTCTCCCAATAATCGACGGTCTGCTTCCTACGATTACTCTGATATTCGCGTTAGTCACCCATCCCTTCGTTTCTAACGAGACGTTCATCGTTCCTAATAGCCGTAAAGGATTGTTTCCGTAATCTCTGAATTTGTCGTCCTCCGGTGCTGGCGCCTTCACGTTCACGCCTGCGGTGCCCAACGTCCGTTTTAGTTCTCCAATGGTAAATATTGAAATCGGTGATCCACTATCTATCCAGACATTCGTTTGCTTCCCATTTACCTTAATTGGTAGTCGAGCGCCGGCCACTTTCATTTCAGTCTCTCTCCGAGATTTGATAGCCATGACAACATTATCTCCTGAGCTGTCCGAATCCCACGATCGTTGCTTCTTTACCGGTGTGTTAACCCAGCCAACTGAATTCTCATGTTGCGAATAAGTATCCTCAGCGTCGCCTATTTCACTAGCTTCCATATCCTCCTGATTTCGGATTAGTCCCACTGCCGGTCTTCCCCGATTAATCCGCTTTCCCCGACAAGTTCTCTCGTAATGTCCCGTCTTGCGGCAGAAATTATACGTCGCATTTTTGGCTGGACATTCCGTAAGGTGTTCCGGAGTAAAGTTGGGTTGGTCACAATTATAGCATCTTCTAGAAACTCCCCTTCTCATCTCTGCTTGTCCTCTGAACGATCCACGGCCGCGCTGTCGATTGTTTTGGTATCATCCTCGGATTGTTGCCACCGGTTCCGTTTTGATCTGAAACGCTCCATTTCCACCCGTGTTGCCACTAGTTGTTGCTCCCTCGGTTGCCGATCCGTATGATTTAGCATATTTGTATCCACGTTCGTATGAAAGTGCAATACGGTACACCTCCTCTGGTGTCTTAGTCGATCGGCATAGCTCATTTTGGGCCTCTCCATTGTTTATGTTCACAATGAACACATCCCGCAGAATTCTGGTCTCCAACGTTCCAAAATTAAATCGGGCGGCCAGCCCGCTT